CGCGATTACTTACCGATCGGAGCTGAAACTCAACCAATTCTTTTCAAGTCTCATCTAACTTAAAAACGATTATTTTAACAAGAAATCTTCGTTACACTAATTGTCATATTGTATTACCACAACTTTCCACGAAGAATAAATTTTCACAATTTTTATCTGTGAAACAAAAACTGTTCAATCAAAAATTTTTCATGACAAAAATGTTAATGGTTAAAAAACAGCAACTAAGAGGCGCTAAAGCTTGCAGAGACAGATGAATAATAAAATCTTAATTGTCTGTTTGATGATACCAATTTCCGTTCTGAATGTAATTTCAGCACAAGAAAATATTCAAGAGATGTTCCAAACTTTAATACCTTCGACAACTTAACAATTCTGATTGTTTCATTCATTCAGTGAAAGACATTTATCAATTCTATTTGTCTAGAAATTTTCGGTAAAATAATACAAATTGCTTTCAAACCAGTTTTTCCAAACTCTACAACGGCCAAAAATATTAATACCTCAACACTTTGGGTGTCGTCTTCATGAATATCTCGCACCGAAACCCGAAAATTCAGCTGCAAATCTGTATCGCCTAGCTCTTCAAAATCGTCATAATTACCGTCATCATCAGTTGCAAAATCGACATGTTCCACACATCCAGAATTCAAAAGTTGCTGGAATTGCAAAATTTTTCTTTAATAATTGTTTTGCAATTCATTGGTCAGCTTAACCACAAAAAATAATTTCTGAATTCAGTATGTTTTTAGAACCCTATATTAAGAACCCTAATAACTGTTATCGTCAGTACAACAAAATTCTCCCAAAACCATGAATTTATTTTCTCTTTTCATTGCCCAACCAAACTGCACAGCACATTTGAGCCTTGTATTTACTCCAAGCTACTTTCCATGATCTATATTATTTAAAAGATAGAAAAATCCTCAAAATTCTACTATTTGAATTTGCTGGTCTCAAATCTCATTTCTTTAACTTAGACAAGGCCGCAATTCTACACTAAAATCACAGTACAATCTATGTTGAAAGGAAAGCTACCGAAAATTTTAAATCAAGGATATTCTAGATATTCTCTTCGAAAAACTTACATGAAGTCTACCAACTCGTACTCGTACACCACTGATACAACCGTTCTTCAATGAAATCAGTAAATCTAACATCTGACTGAAATATTCACCACTCATAATCTCCCCTCGTAAAATCATACAAAATGTGGGACGTCCAGTAAGTTTCCACCTTCTCGATATAAATTCCAAATTTAACTGCAATTGTATATGTAAACTGAAGAGAATTGAGCATTCTTCATAAGTCGAAAGAATCTTATCGAGTCTTAAATTTATATAAAGAAGCTATTCTTGCAAAATCCACTTGGACAATTAATTACGGTACAAAAGGATTATGGTTGGGTGCAGAAGTCAGTGCAAAACAAAACATTCGGTACCAAATGACTGCTATTCATTCTAACAGTAGAAATGTCATCCGTACTTCAAGCATTTCCCGAGAAAACCTGATTATCTTTCCATAGTCATGCACCTAATAAAAAACTAGAATATAATAATACTTTAATTTCGTTTATTAATACAGCCGGATCTGCATTTATGTAGAAGTCCTTCACTTCGAATAATAATGGATAACAAAGAATAGTATCACCAAAACGTTTGAAAATTTTGCTCGTATTAAGAGGACCAAATGGCCGTCTTGGTCGACCGCTCAAGCCCATTTTCTCATTCTTCCCTAAGGATTCAAATACCTGAAAAGCCACGAAAATAACCAAGCACTGATAACAAAATGTTTTTGTTCTTTTTCCCCAACAACTGTCCAGTTTCAATCTCAATCCTAAGCAACGGTCACAGAAAAAAGAAGTGAATACTTTAAAATATATTCTGAAAAAAGAAGTGAAATATTCTAAAATACATTTAAAAAAGAGTGAATATTATAAATTATAATAAATAACAACTGAATGCAAAATTGTTACGAAGATAAAATCGGAGAGATTATTTATTTTCCTAAATCTGTTAAGTCAAACACTCATATATGACGCAGTGGACAGCTTCAGATAATAAATATACCTTCATCATTCTCCAACTCGGCCAAATTCGCACGGGCTCAAGATCATGAGGAGTTTGAGTATCAATGCCATATGTTGAAAGCATCATTTGCAAACGACTTGACTCAGCGATCAGAACAACCTGAACTACCGGATCGCCTTCCATACTACTCTGAAAGAAATTATGTGAGAATTTGTTCAGTTAATATTGAAGCGATGAAATAAAGCATAGAAAAACTTTTCTACGGTAGTATCTTAAAAAATTAAAATTGTCAACAGCGCGAGTAAAAAGTGATCAGTTATTAGCAAGAAAACAAGCATGTCGTAACACTACGGACAACTGAAAAACCGACAAATTCGAATCGATAATAAGGAAAACCACGAGAAATTCATGGAGGAAAAAGTTCACAAATAATCAGGATTCGCATCATTTTCAAACTATTTACTTTAACTAATCCATTCGAAATTTGGATTTCATTAGAGGAATCCAAATAAGGCATGCAATACCTTTAGTGAAAACCAAATATAACATGCATTTAACAAGATGCTTTTCCGCAACCCATATTTTCGAGAAAAAAACTTTCATGTCGGCCACAAAAAAAAGAATTTGACATATTTTGAAGTTTTATGTATATTCCCTTCCGCAAATAGTGTCGCATATTCTCTAATATCTCAAAAAAAAATTGTCTGAGTGTAATAAATGACGAAACATATTTCATCTTTTCAAGTCTCTATAGTTTTGTAAATTAGCAGATGTGAAGTTGTACTGGGTGTGGACGAAAATTCGACTCCTGACTGGTAAAGAAGCGAATGAGCACAACACTCAAGTACAAAATAAAAGAAGCAGAATAAAATACCTCTAAATATATTACCAGAAACTTCGAAATAGAACCGTTAATTTAAAATTTCACTTAGCATCTGTTTCATGTTAAGAAATTTAATATGAAGCAAAAAAAAAAAAACTTTTTTCCTTTCTCTACCTGTAGAAAGTCCTTCCATCGTTTCCTTTGCAAAATCAAATTCAATATGATAAATAAAAAAGAAACGCAGGCATCTACTACTGAAAACAAACTTACGCTTCCTTTTGTTTGCTCCATATCACGCTAAACAGAATATTGAACGTTTCAAACAAAGAAATATCAATTTCTTTCTCTACAGATTTATTATTGTCCTATGAAAAAAAAATCTTAATAATTTTAACCTGAAATACGGAATGACGATTCTGGTATTTTGGTCGTTGGCTGGCTGGAAGATGTCGACAGATCGGATCGATGTCCGTTAAATGAATTAACTCATCCTCTGGAAAATTTACACGAATATGTTAACAGTTATTTTGAACTAAGATTTTTTCCAGTCCTGCATACAAATTATTAAATCGGACTCACAAGATTTTTGCATTTCAAGAATACTGCTGCCTCGTTAGAATTCGTTCACACTCGCACAAATTACAGAGAAAGCCTGAGTTTTCAGTGCGATGCACTCGATATTAGAAAGGTCTAACTTTATGCCAATACCTGTCATGCCATACTCTTACTTGATTCCAGCTATAGTCTTTCACCTGCATTACATACACTCAATATTTGAGAAGCTAGATCATTTTTAGTAGATCATTTATTGACGGCATCACTAATGCATTGACTCCAACAATTACTATAAATTCTCGACAATTTGTAAAATACCTTCGCACTCCGTTATGTTGAGATTGAAGATTTCACAAGACTATGTTAGCATGTTATGAGACCGAAAGACCATAAATGCCAAAAATTCGGAAAAAAAAACAGCCTTACTTAGAAGTAACGCTATTAGATAAACAGCATTAGACCAAAGATGGTGACCAAACTCGTTTGGGCTCGCTGGATAAAATTCCTGGGAATTCGGCTTCATTCTTTCGGCATCCATATGTTCTTCTTCAATAGCATAGTATTCTGGCATCACCAAATATGATGCTGAAGGATAAAGTTTACACATATATCTTACACCAAAACAGTTTCCAGTTAATAACACACATATCTTCGAGACTATGCTGCGTCATTTCCCTTCATAAAACGAATACACCTTCATTGCATTACACTACAAGCAGAAGACCTGTTTTATGAAATATTATTTTTTTAATGTTTTATGAAATTTTATGAAAATATGAAATATTAAAATATATCAACAACACTAAATATTAATGATAAGACCAACTTTTTTCGCCCGATACAAGCATGTCATTGGTTTTTTGCCAATAAGAATGAGATAATTTGCGTTCCCCACGAAAATGAGCTAAAAACATAAGGATAAAAGTCGATACAAGGTCAATAAAGCACAAGTTTAGACACTTTACAGTAAATATATATGCAAAAAAATACCAGTAATTGCAATATAGGCGAAGAAAACCGGAAATTGACATTCAATATCTTGAAAAAGTGATGTTTCATGTTCATTGTAATACTGTCTCGAAGCATCTTCAAGTTCAGTATGATAGCCATCCCGTAAAAATCTGAAAAAAAAAGAAAACTCATTTTGCAAAAGCGAAAGCAAGATGTAATAACCAACGAAATAAAGCTTCTTTAAGTGTAAGTATTAAATATAAAGGGATATCATGATAAGATACATCATATGCTTTGATGATAAGCTACCTCTTCAACCCATATCGCCCTTCCAAACGTCGAATGCACTTGTTGAATGTTTTTTCATAAAGTTCCGGATCATGCGTTGCAAAAGCTGGCCATCCTATTGATAATAGCAATGCAGCGTCAGTATTCTGTAACAATCCCATATCATCTTTAATCTAAAACAGTAAATCGACTGACCACCTACCTTCGAATTGCTTTCCCTGGGTAAAATCGTTTCAAAAGTAGTACGATTTCTGTTATGTCCATCAATATCAACATATATCACAGATGAACTAGTTCCAGCCATCCCATAAAGATTAAAACCATTTATTGCTTCCAACGCAGCCTGTAAGGCATATTTCAGAGTCAAAACTTCACCAAGTGTTTTACACAATACAAATTTTGTTTTACTATCCACCAAATGCACAATATTTGCGAAGATATACAAAGTTTTGCGAATCCTATGCCATCCTCATACTTACAGTTTCCTAACAACTTAAAACCCCAAATTCCATGGAGATGTTAGGTACTTATTATCTAATCTATTTATAATTCCTGATAAGAACCTTCTCCATCTTATTTTCTACAATGGTAAAACGAAAGTAAAACGCAAACCAGAACATACCTTTACCATTCCAAGACTGCTAGCATGAAGTTCGCGTTCACCAACATTGTACCTAGAACCTGCTTCCCACATACCAAAATCTGGTGTACGATAAGTTCGTTCGATATAGAAAACAAGATTTTGGACAAAACAAACTTCATCATGCGTGTAAATTACCTGTTAAAATTCCTTAGCTTAGAATCGTAACAGCATAGCCGAAACAAGAACTTAAATTATCAAAAAATACCAAATATAAACTATTAAATTACTAGATTTATTTAAAAGCGTAAATTATTTACTGATATTCAAAAATAGAAAGATTTTGAAAACTCAATTAAAAAAATCAATGCTTATTTCGGAAGAAACGCAAACAAACAATCGTTTCCTATGACAGTTCATTTCCAGTCACTGACAACCGAATGACACCCTTTTTTCCGCAAGGTTATAATTTAGCAAAAACTACATGTAAAAAAAGAAAAATAGATGTAAAATATTGTTTTGGAAAGTGCATGCTGAACGACAGGAACAATTAAAGAATAGCATGAACAAAGTAATTGACTCAGAATAAAATAATGTTATTTTATCTCAGAGGCTTCTAGCTGATCCTTCTTTGGCTTAGTCAGTGAGAATAATTAAAAGGAGAATAAAAAGAATAAAAAAAAAAGAAGACTAAAGAAAAAGCAATATACCTGAATACCAGCTGCAGTCATCTGAACCAATGCTAAGAGATACAATGCAATAAGGTCCATTTGTAAATGTCCATATTTCTGAAATTTGAGGCCCTCATATATGTAGGAATAAAAAAAGACAAAAAAATGGGGAAAAAAATCAGAAAAACAAAAAAATTGATCCCATTTTATGCTTTCACATAAATTATAATTTTCATTTTAATAATCCGATTCTCGCTGCTACAGAGAGAAATAGCACATGAATAGAGAATTTTGTTTTCAAATCTCTAGATCGTAAGCAAAATGTCTTAATGTTTCAGAGCATACTTTTTCATTCGGCCTATCAAGAACCATGCCTGTATGCAAATCAAACCGTGCATATAAAGCGAATTCTGGTGAAATATTCTCTTTGAAATGATTGAGCTGAAAGACAACAAGAGATCGAAATACTCACTAAACTGCAAAATAGAATAAAAAAAAAGACATTTGTAAAAAAATGTTTGTGAAGAAATGTCTTTCGAAAATTTTTGAAAGAATTTAAATAAACTTTGAAACACGGCACTCTATATAATTTCATTTTTTACTAATCCGATCAATTCCCATTCTGCTGAGACATTTCTTCACAAATACTTTACTCACTGCCATAGATACAAAAAGCACCTACATTGTTCACGAATGACTAATCGTATGATATACGAAAGAGGAAATGAATCTTTGAAATATCTCAAACTAGAACATTCTTCATTAACTGATATTACTCATTGAAAGTTAATTCGAAAGTTTTTCAATGGCATACATTATCAAGCTGTTGCATCCAGCAAAACATAATTCCTCGCATCGCTTTCACTGCCGATTGCCTCAATTCCGTTTGTCGTCCTCGATCATCGTCCAGTCGTCTGAAGGCTATTAGAAACAATAATTTTAGGATGAGATATTGAACTTAGTCAATTATAATAATATTTTCTTATTTCTTATGTTTGAGAATTTTTAACCCAATCTACTATCAAACGATCATCAGTGAAGAAAGAAATGAAATTACTTGTAAGCAATCGAACAAGTCCAACATGCCAAAGCACAGTAGATGCTATCCTTGACAAAGCCAATTTCACGGTCTTTAGAATATCGTGGGAATAATCCGCTTGTTACACTTTGATGTTCCAATATAAGTTTTCGCACTGCAATAGAAAAATATTGTCAGCATTTATGGAAAACAAGATTCTAAAGTCTTCTTAACAAATAACGTTTAAATCTGTCTTAATTATTTTGAAATTCACTTCACTTTCATCCGGAAAATTTTGTATACAATATCAGGAAGAGATTTTTTGAAGTTCATATGGTTATGCATCTGCTATTTTTTTCAGACACGTTACAAGTAAAAGAAAACGTATTTAAGCGTAACATAATATCTTCTATGATGTACCAACCTAAACAATAGATATTATCCACTTTGTCGTATGCAGTACGAACAACCAATGGTTGGAACTGACTGATTGGCGTAAGATAAGCTCGCGTTAAACGTCTTAAATGTGTATTTGCATTCTGACGTTTTCGTGCTCGCTTTTTAAAGCCCAACATTTGATTCTGAAATCACTCTTCTAAAATATGGGGAAATACATCTTTACTCCAACATTTTCGAAAGTGATACATTTCTAAACAAGTGTTTATTATTTAAAACGGCAAAAAAAAAAAATTCAGTGTATGCGACAACACATAAATAACGAATTCGCGGAAAATCATGCTGATGGCAAGATTCTTCTTAATGAATTCTATGAACTGTCATTTCCGAATCTGCTATCATCAACTTATGACTAATTTTCCCAGCAGTGCCTGTTGGATTAAAAATCACGAGAAATAGCTTGTTTACTCCGAACTCCCTACCACTCAACACCTCAACAAACGGCCCGAAGACACAAGAAAGAAAATTTCTGCATTTGTCTATCCTAACAGCAATCAATCATTCGTTTCAAGAATTTAACAGTTCGAACTTATGATCCAGTTTTTGTTAGTAATTTGATATAATTTTGTCCTTCGAACCGTTACATACATACTCTCTGAATGCTGTTTCATTACATATTCTATATAACACCAGATACTCGGAAATTGTTTAAAGTACCCGAAAATTGAAATTTTATTTTCATTCGTTAGTGGTTCCATAGAATATTCATTTGTTACATGACGATACATCCAGGAAAGGCTTCTTTCATATTTTATTGAATGTGGAAGTGAAATATATTTCAAATTTGATAGTGATGGGGTTTGGAAAATTTACATCGCTTTATAGAAATAATTTGAGCTTGCAATTACAGAAATTGGAAATTAGGACAAAAAAAAAAATTGGAAAAGTGGTATATTATCAACTTTCTATACTTTAAATATGTACTTCTGATCATTAAGATATTTGCAGAACACAGTGATTCAGATTTCTCATTTTTTTTTTGTTATAATGATCATTAAAACGTTTGATGCTACACTGTTCTAGTTTATCTTGTCCTGAAATCATCCAACTAAACCACATTGTCCTGAAACTATCTCGGATAGGTCACGCTGTCCTGAAACCACCCCAAGTGGACCACGTTGCCTTGAAACCATCCTGAATGGACTACGTATTCCTGAAACCATCTTGGATAGATCATGTTGCCCAAACCGTCCTGAATAGATCACGTTGTCCTGAAACTATCCTGAATATGTTCATCAATTTTGGAATCATGTTGAATTTCCTCTTCATTACGTGGATGAAAAGATGAACCAATTGTGTTCTTTCTCTCTTCCCATCATACGTACTGGTCTGTTTGCATACAATGAAGCGCAAGTTGAAGCGGAAGAAACGAAAAAGTTAAACAATTATAAATATTTTTTAAAAAATCTACTTTTTCTTCTCAATAAGTTGGAAGTACAGTTTTTGCAGGATTATCTTTAAATAAAGCAGATATGGAAGTGGATAAAATTTAAAAAAAAAAAAAGAAAAATGAGAGAAGAGAAAATGAATAAATTAATCGTCCGAAAAAAAAAAAAAGACGAAAAAAGAAACTAGAATGAAATCATATTTTGTAAAAGTTTTTCATCTTTTAATTGTTTCAAAAATGAATCGTCTGTTTTAAAGTAGATTGAATTGCAGGCGAGTGCTTTTCGTCCTATAAAATATTCTCAAAAAACATTTCTTTTTATCTTGCCAGACATTTTCTATTGATTTTCCATTCTCATTTCTCCATTTTTCTTTTTTCTCTCCTCTCATTTTTCTGTTCTTTTTTTTTTTCAAAAATTTCATCCACTTCTATGTCTATTTTATTTTAAGATAGTCATGTAAAAATTTTATTTTAAGTTATCACAAAAAAGAGAGAGGAAAAAGATATGATTTTGATCACAATAAAATGTATAAGAAAGAAGCAACAATAATCATTTAAATAGACTTTCGTTCTTCCTTGTTTCCTTGACGGATAGTTTAATTCGGAGGCATAAATGATATTTACTATCGGAATCTTCCGTTACAACAATCAAAATTTTTGCAATATTTTTCGCAATTTTTTGAAAAAAAAAAAGACAAGAAAGCTGTAAATTTTGAATGAATTGCATATTGATTGTTATTTTGAACAAATATCCGAATCAAAGATCAATTTCTTTTGCAGCAAATTTCGAACCAATGTATGTGTATTAAGTACTTGGCCAAAATATGCTTGGAAGCTTCGCATATCATCTCAAAATGTTAGAAATAGAATATCAAAAGAAGAATATTGATGGAACAATAACAGGAAAATGAAAAGTAATCAGGGATGAAATTTAAATTTAATTGCTAAAATTTATAAAAATCGGAATGATTATTGTTGTCATTTGATTCTTGATGGCATGTCAGAAATGAAAAATTGAAGGCTATGAATTAAAGCGTAGAAAATGAAAATGATAAAGGTGAGAGGTGAATAAATATACTATCGCTTATAATTTTATAAAAAAATTTTTTGAAATGAATTGCGAATGTAAATATTGGTTGAATATTAGGATATTTTACATTTTCCATTAGTTAAAAATCAATTTTAGATGCATTATGAGTATCCATTTCAAAATTATTTAAACACGTGAAGGATATTTCAAAAAATTTTCATAAATGCATGAATCATTAATCATCTATTGAATTTTAAGGTATAGTTATAAAATAGAGCTATTGCAGCATGAATTAAAAAGTAATTCCATTTCTTTATAACAAAATATTTTTCAAACCTCTCTTTATCTATTTTCCCTTACCTTTATTTTTTTCTCGACACTTGTTTTTTTATCAAGAAATTAAAAGGTAAAAGAAGGACGAAACTGGATAGCAGTGAAATGGAGTGAGTGCAAATTTCATTTCAAATCATTAGCTAACCACTGTTCACTGATTAATGCAGGCTTGGGAAAAATATCTAGATTATTGAAAGCAATTTAATAATGGAATTAGTAAAGTTTTTTTTTTTTTTGATCTGACGTGAAACTGATGCCGTCATTGCAATACACGTAATTTGAGCGTTATCGATGTTTTCTAATCCTTGTCACTCAGTTGGATAAAACAAGAATTTGAGATTCATTCGAATGAATAAATAATTTAAATGGCGAAAACAATTGCATTGAAAAACAGCACAAATTAATCATTTAAAAATTTCAAAAAAATTTCCAAAAAAATAAAGTGCAAATGCGGACGAAGAGAAGGAATGATTTGTAAGTATATATGCATCACACATCATCACAAATTGCAAATATAATACCTGAAAAAAATGCACAATTTTATAAAATTATAAAACTTTGAAAATTTATTTGTCCAAAATTATTATAATTTAATTAATTTGTAATTCATATTATATCCATTCATTCGTTTAGAGAATTTTTTTTCCTCTTTTTTTCTTGATTAAATATTAAATAAACACGTGAAGCATGATAGTTTAATTCAAAATATATTTAAATATTTCTAACTGTTACGTTATGAATGATAATCATTATGTATCAGACATAATTGAAGATTGAGTCATGTATTGATCGATATGGTACAATCATATATGAGTCATGTATTGATCGATATGGTACAATCGTACAAATATAATACCTGAAAAAAATGCACAATTTTATAAAATTATAAAACTTTGAAAATTTATTTGTCCAAAATTATTATAATTTAATTAATTTGT